TATGCACCCTGCCCCCCAATATGACTATACCCCATTCTCATATGTTTCTAGCCTGCTTTCACATCAGATAACCCAGGTCAGTGTGTTTTCTATTCCATCAGAGGAGGAAGGGAGGAAGAGAAGGGGGGGGGAGAAAGAGAGGAGAGAGAGACGGGGAGAGAAAGAGAGAGAGACACACAGAGAGAGAGAGACAGACAGACAGGAGAGACAGAGAGAGAGAGACAGAGAAAGAGAGAGAGAGAGGAGAGAGAGAGAGAGAGAGAGAGAGAGAGAGAGAGAAGAGAGAGGGAGGGAGGGAGGGAGGAGAGAGAGAGAGAGAGAGAGAGAGAGAGAGAGAGAGAGAGAGAGAGAGAGAGAGAGAGAGAGAGAGAGAGAGAGAGAGAGAGAGAGAGAGAGAGAGAAGCACTCTGGGATCTCCTGCCAACCCACCACTTCTCGAAGTGTCAGGGGAGCCAGCCAGCCGGGTGGAAAGTGATCCCTATAGCAATTACTGCGCTGATGAGGAGGCATGTTGGAGCCTGAAGGAAATCTAATTCAGCTGCACAGTAGCTGAGGCTGCTGCCACCAGCTCTCAGCACCTCAGACATAGGGGCCTTGCAGTCTTTTTCTTGAAGCTGTACCGTCTTTTTAATTTTTTTTCCTTTTTCAAGTATGTTTACACACATCTAAACATCGGATCTAGCCAACAATCTGCTTACGGCAGGCAGGGCAGGGATGCCTATGCCAACTGATGAATAAGGAAACTGATGCACAAGGTCACCCAGTTTGTGAATGTTCCCAGTTTCCTGCCCCTCTACCCCTGACTCTTTCTATCAGCTCATGCTTCCTTTCTTTGGAAAGGAGGATGCAACAGCCTAAAGACTATGCTGTGCCCATTATGATCTCATAGATTGATAAACTGATAGGTTTTTGGTGAGGTGAGAGAATTTAGAGATTGTTTAATCCAGGGGTTCTTCATTTTTTTGGTGTTATGGACCCTTCTGGCAGTCTTGGGAAGCCATGGGACCTCCTCTGAGAATCATCTTTTTAAATGTATAAAATAAAATGTACAGTTTACAAGGGAAACTAATTACATTGAACTAATTATCAAAACATTTTTTAAAGAAAACAAATTCATGGGCCTCCATCTAACCAAGCCCTGATTTTCATTTTCTTTTTGTATTTGTGCCCCCACCACTTAGCACGATGCCTAGAGCATGGTAAGCACTTTCTGCTTGTTGGATTGAACTGAATCTTTCAAATGAGGAAACTGAGGCCTCGACAGGTTAAATGACTTCTGAGACTAGAACTCCAGTCTTTTAAATCTGTCAGATCCCAGCTGGCCACGCATTGACTCAGAAAACCACAAATTAACACTGTTTATGCTGTACTGTATTTTTATTTTGTTAAACATTTCCTAATTACATTTTAATCTGGTTCAGGCTTTACTTGGGAGTATTATGGGCTGCTTAGTTTGACAGCACAGCTGCCTCCCCACTACATCCCAGTTGCCTCAATCCCAGAATCTCACCAATCCCAGAGTTAAATGGGCCAGCCAGTGTCCGCCCTACAATATATCAATCAATAAACATTTATTAAGTTCCTACCAGTGCCAGGCATTGTACTAAACTCAAGGAATGCTCATCCAGCCTTTGTTGGAAGAAATTGGCGGGGGAGGGGTGCGACGTAGGGGCTTGCAACCCACTCCTCCCCCATGGCTGCCCATTCCACTTTGGGATGACTCTAATTATAAGAAGTTTCTCCTTACATCAAACCTAACCTAAATTTGCCTCTTTGTAACCCGTAGCTCCCAGTTCTTCCCCTCTGGGCCCATGAAAAACAAATCTAATCTCTCTTCCATGTGACAGCCGTTCAAATACCTGAAAATAGCTATCCTGCCCCACCCCAGACCCAAGTCATCTTTTCTCCAGGCTAAACATTCCCCCACTCCCTCAGCCAACCATATGGCCCTTCTCCATCCCAATTACCTCCTTCTGGATGATCTCCCACCTATCAATGTCCTTTCTATAGTATGGCACTGGAAACTGAACATGATCATCCAGATTGTGATCTGATGAGGGCAACAGACAGCCCTAGAAGCTATATTCCTTCCTTAATGCAGACTAAGATCATTTTAGCTTTCTTGGCTGTTATACTTTTGCTGTTTGTTCATGTCATTTGCTGTAATACACTCATATTATTAAGCTTCCAACCCATTAAATACCTGAACAAACTGGTGCCTGGCCACATATCTTATTTGTGAAGTTGATTTTTTTTAATCCAACAATATGACTCTACTCTTATCCTTATTCACTTTTATCTTCTCAGATTCACCTGGACATCTCCATGTCTTCATCTTTTTGTCCTCTGTATACATTATTACCCCTCAGAAACTCTGATATCCTGCCCAGACTATCACTTTCTTTGCTCCTCACAAATGATGCTCCATTTTTAGAGTGATAGGGCTACAGAATAGATTAGGTACACAATACACAGTTTTAAATGACCACTGTAACCTAGTGTTTGGTAAACCCAAAGAGCCAAGCTGTTGGAATAAAAAGTCACTATTTGACAAAAATTGCTGGGAAAATTGGAAAGCAGTTTGGCAGAAACTAGGCATATAACAACATCTCACAGCTTATGCTAAAATAAAGTTAAAATGGGTAAATGATTTAAGACTTAAAGGGTGAAATCATAAATAAATTAGAGGAGCATGGGAAAATGTACCTGTCAGATCTATGGATAAGGGAAGAGTTTATAAACCAAAAAGAGATAGGATCACAGGAAGTAAAACGGATAATTTTGATTACATGAAATTAAGAGGTTTTGTACAAACAAAACTAATGCAGCCAAAATTAGAAGGAAAGTAGAACTGGGGGAAATTTTTACAGCAAGTTTCTCTGATAAAGGCCTCATTTCTCAAATATATAGGGAATGGAGACAAACTTATAAAAATAAGAGCCATTCCCCACTTGATAAATGGTCAAAGAATATGAACATGCAGCTTTCAGAAGATGAAATCAAAGCTATCAATAGTTACATAAAAAATGCTTTAAATCACTATCAGTTAGAGAAATGCAAAATTAGAGTCCCCAGAACTCTAAGTCTCCAACTCACACCTATCAGATTGGCTAATATGACAGAAAAGAAAAATGATAACTGCTGGAAGAGATGTGGAAAAAATAGGTACACTAATGAATTGTTGATGGAGTTGTGAACTGGTTCAACCATTCTCAAGAACAACTTGGAACTATGTCCAAAGGGGTATAAAATTGTGCTTTCCCTTTGAACCAGCAATACCGCTACTAGATCTGTATCCCAAAGAGATCAAAGAAAAGGGAAAAGGATCTATATATACAAAAATATTTATAGCAGCTTTTTGTGGTGGCAAATTCCATCACAATCATATACCACAACTTGTTTGGCTATTCCCCAATTGAGGGATATCCCCTCAGTTTCCAATTCTTTTTAGTGTAGTAATCATATCCAAAAAATGAGGTTAAGTTGGCATGACTTGCTCTTGATTTAGTCATGAGAGGTCTTTGGGAGCACAGCTTCCTTTTCTAAATATTCACTAACCCTCCCTTTCCTGTGTTCTAGAATCTTGCCAGAAATCAAAAGTCAAGATCATAATCTAATAATCGGCATATTTCATTCTCTTTAATAAAAACTGGGGTGTCATCTACACTATTTCAGTTTGAGGACACTTCTGTTCCCCAGGGTCTTTCAAAAGATACTGACAGTGATTCAGCAACTATATCCACTTTTCATCTTGTGAAAACAACCACACACACACACACACACACACACACACACACACACACACACACACATGGAGGCCAGAACATCATAGCTTAGACTTCCACAATCCTAGAATTGCAAGGCACTTTAGAGAGCATCCAATTCAATCTCAAACCCCCTCCCATGAGTTCCCTGTACAACAACCTGACCCATGTTGTCATCTAGCCTCTGTATGGACTCCTCCACTGACAGAGAATTCATGGAGCAGCCCATTCCATTTCAATGGTAATGAGTTCATCTCTCCAGCCAAAATCTGTCTCCCTGTATCTTTCACTCTTTGGTCCTAGTTGGCCCATCTGGAATCCAAGCAGAAGCTAATTCCCTCTTCCAGACGAAAGCCCTTTGGATATTTAAAGGCAGCAAATGCATGCTCCCAAACCCTCCAAGCCTTCTCTTATTTTTTGACATTGTTTCCAGCTCTTACCACCCTGGTTACCCTCCATCGAATACACTTCTATTTGTCGGTCATTCTTAAGAGGCAGTCCCCAGAACTTAACACCATCCTTCAGATATAGTCTGACCAGGGCAAGTTCCAGTCAGACAACCAATCACCTGCTCTGCCCTGGCCACCAGGGTTCCATGAATACTGCTTAAGTTCATGTGAGCTTTCTCAGTGGCTGCTGAATCATGCTGAAGTCAACTGAAATACTTTAGGAGCTTATAGAGGTCCCAAGCGGCTCCAGAGTTCTAGGAAAACATGTTGGGCTTTATCTCGTTTCCATTTCATTGATGAGGGGGAGAAGTGAACTAACAGTAGGATACACCTTCCATCAATGTGTGTGGGTGTATAGACAGGCAGCATGATGGGAATTGAGACATCAAGCCCTTCCTCTGACACATATGAACTGTGTGACCAAGAGCAGGTCACTTACCCTTTCTCATGGCTCTCCAGCAATTCTCAAAGACTGAAAGTTAGAGATAAAAGGCAGATCTGCATCAGGGGAGGAATTTTCTACAGCAGGGAGTTCCCCCACACTGATGAAATCATGGGTTCAGACAATACACACACACACACATACATTCAGAGAACTGTATTATTTGCATTTTTGCAGTGTTTTTTTTTAAAACAGTAGAGTGCATTTTAAGTGTATATTAAATATACAGATATATAAACCCATATAAATGTCTTATTTACACATTTTTCAGTATCTAATTGACAGTTGATGCCCCGCCCTCCCCAGCCCATCTCGCCTGACTCCCAGACCCCACAGCCTGCCTACCTTACGTCCAGCCTCATTGTTGTGTAAGTTCATGAGGGTCCTAGCATTCTGCTTGATCTCCCTTGCGTCCACGAAGACCTTGGCAAAGCCAATGCCATAGCGGATGTCGGCAGAGCAGCCACCCCACTTCCAGCCTTCGTCCCGGTGATACTGGCCCTGCTTCTCCTTGTCACAGCCGCAGTCACTCAGGTTACCCTGTGTACAGGCAGCTGTAATGGCATGGGCCACACCTGCAGCAATGACCGCATAGGTGAATGCAGCTTCTCGGCTCCCTGAAAGAAAAGACAGGCAACACATCGTGGTAGGAACCAGGATACTGAGGGAAAGGGAATTGGGAACCCAGACTACAGGCTCCACCCTGGCAGGCACTTGTCACCCAGTACAAGAGTCTGTATACAGTAGTAGGGGTGAACTGGAGCCATGAGGCAAGCTGATCATTAAATTTGTTAGAGTTACCATTTACATCTTAGAAATCTATAAGCTACAAATCAAGGTTTGATTTATTGTTTTGTAGATTGTCTAAACTAATAAAAAGTCATGGAGAAAATGCAGAATAAGCTTAAAAATGTGTCAGGCTTACATTGTGTTTTGAGAGTCTGTTGTTAAACATTTACCAGCAGACACCCCCCCCAGAAGGGTTTAACATACAGATTTCATTAGTGAGGGGAACTCCTGATGGGGGAATTTCTTTCACCAGTGGTCAATCCCAACTTGTCTCTAATATAGTAGATAAGTCCTAAGGAGCTGCCAGAGGCACATGAACCATTAGTGATTTGCCCAAGATCACAATACTAATAAGCATCAGAGCCACAACTAAAGCCTAAATCTGCCTGACACTGAGCTCAGCACTCCATCCTACACCACATGACCTCTAAAGTCTTTAATAAGAATTATTTTTTCAACTGAATTAAATTGAGACTAAAGAAGAGATGATCAATTTTACATAGAGAAGGGAAGGCCTAGAACTCTACTTCCCATACGTTTTCTTTCCAAGACACTTGTGAACTTTTGCCAGGACAGAATAAGAGAGAAGGTAATATCATGCCTCTCATCTATCTGTCTGTCATCTATGAATTTAGTCAATAAATCTTATAATAATAATAAATGACATAATATATAATAAATCTACCCAGTCACCCCTACATATACTTACATATAAGATAGCTCCTCCACTTATTAACTATATAACACAAATTGTGACCTACATAAGTGGGGCTAATAGCCATACTTATGAGACCCAGATTGATTGGAGTATTTTGAGTAACAATGGACAGATCATTTAGTGTCTCTGGGCCTCAGTTTCCCTATCATGGTGGCTAATAATTCTGGCACCACTTATCTGACAAGGTTATGGTAGGAAAAGAGCTCTTATGAACCTTAAAACCTTAAACCAGCTGCTCCCGTGGCCCCATTTCTCCCCACCTAGAACAGTACCATTGGACTGGACATCCCAAAACCATGCTCTCCATCAATGGAGAATTAATCGTTTTGCCTTTGGGACGCCTGCCCAAGAGTCTAGCTATCTTGACTGGTGACTGGTCAAAAATGATCACTGAATGAATGCAAACTTGCCTAGCTCCACTATATGTAGCCATGCTCTGCCAGCCTTCTTTCATCCGACATTTGCCTATTCTTGCTGAGGACACCGCCATCCTCCTATTCTCCCAGGTTCACAGTCTTAATGTCATCCTTCCCTCCTCTCTCTCACTCTCATATTAAATGTTGCCAATCTTGCCATTTCTACCTTCACAACGTCTCTCATATCCATCCCCCTTCTCTCTACTTGTCCAACCACAAAGCACCAGCCCTCATCACCTTCTTCTCTGGAATGCTCTAATAGCCTTATCTATCTCCTGACCTCCAGTCTCTCCCCACTCCAATCTCAGCTACAGAAATGATTGTTCTGAAGGGGAGGCCTGACAATGTCACTCTCCTCTGCTCAGTGAGTTCCAGTGACTCTCATTACCCCCAGGACCAAATATAAAATCCTCTATCTGGCATTTGAAGCTCTTCCTAGCCCAGCCCCTTCCTATCTTTCTGGTATTCTTAAATCTTACTCCCCTCCACAAACTCTACAATCCAGCTCATTTCTTACTTTTCCCTCCTCAAACACAACATTTCATCTTCTGCCTCCTCCACCCAGACTTCCTTCAAGATTCAGCTTAAAGCCCAACTGCTGAAGGAGCCCTTTTCTAGGTCCCCCTCCCTCAGCTGCCCTCCCTGACTGCCTCTGTTGTTGGTGTTCAGTCCCGATGCCCCTTCTGTTTCTTTTCCTAAGCACAGGTGTTTTTGTTGTTTCAGGAGTGTCTGATTCTGCATGGCCGCGTTTGGGGTTTTCTTGGCAAAGATGCTGGAATGGTTTACCATTTCCTTCTCCAGCTCCTCTTATGGATGAAGAAACTGAGATAAATAGGGTGAAGTGACTTGTGCAGGGTCACGCAGCTAGCAAATGTCTAAGGCTGGATTTGAACTTGGGTCTTTCTAACTCCAGGCCTGGTGCTCTATCCACTGTGCCACCTAGTTGTATACATCTTGTACATACCTCATTACTTACAGGTTGTCTCCTCCACTAGAATGTGAGCTCTCTAAGGGCAGGGACTGTTTTTTGCCTTTCTCTATTTCTCCAGTGATTAGCACAGTGCCTGGCACATAGCACTCTGATAAATGCTTGTTGATTGACTCAGTCAAACATTTATCAAGCACCTACTATGTGCCAAGCACTGCACTAAGCACCAGAGAGACATAAAGGGGCAAAAGACAGTTCTTGTTCTCAAGGAGCGTACAGTGTAACAGTATAAATGACAAATGTACAAATGTGTAAAAACAAGCCATACACAGCATAAATAGGAATTATAGTCTAATAGGGTAAACAACAAACATACAGATATGTACAAACAAGCTATACACAGTAAAAATGGGAATAAGAGATGGAGGCCACCAGAATTAAGAGGGGTTGGGAAAGGCTTCTTGCAGAAAACAGGATTTTAGTTGAAACTTAAAAGAAGCCAGTAAGAGGAGATGAGGAAGGAGAGATTTCTAGGCATGGAAGATAGAGAAAATGCCCAGAGCTAAGAGACTGAGTGTCTTGATCATGGACCAGCCAGGAGACCAGTGTCATTGGGCTTAAGAGTCATTGGGTGGGGAAGAAAGTGTTAGAAGGCTGGAAAGGCAGGATGGGGCTGTTATGAAGGGCTTTGAATGCCAAACAGAGTATTTTGTATTTGACTCCGGAGGCAATAGGGAGCCACTGGAATTTATGGAGAAGGTTGGGGAGAGGGGGTGTTGTGACACATCAGACCTGTGCTTCAGGAAAACCACTTTAGTGGCTGAATGGAGGATGGATTGGGGTGGGGAGAGACTTGAGGAAGGCAGATCTCCCAGAAGCTATTGCAGTAATCCAGGTGTGAGGTGACGAGGGTCCGCACCAGACTGATGGCTGTGTCAGAGGGGAGAAGGGGGGCAGATTGGAGACATGGTGCAAAGGCAAAATTGACAGGCCTTGGCAACAGCTTGGATATGGAGGGATGTGAGAGATAGTGAGGAGTTCAGGATGACCCCTAAATTGTGAGTCTGAGAAGCTGGGAGGATGGTGGTGTTGCCTGGAATTTAACAGGGAAAGTGGGGGTGGAGGGTTAGCCAGGCCTAAATCATGCCTCATATCTATACACCCCTGTCATCTTGTCATCTCTCTTTCTACCAGGAACCTATCCCATCCCTTCCTCAATCAGTTTTCTGCCTCTTATTCTGGGAACAGCGAGCAAATTGATACTACCATTGCTTCTGGAAAGGGTGTGTCCTATGTATGAATTAACTCACCATCCTAACACCCCAGATCCAAACTCCTTTCCCTGGAAGCATTCTCCTCATAGGAATGTAAGTTTAGAATGTTTCCTCCATCTATTAGAATGTAACCTCCAGGTAGGCAGGAATTTTTTTTATTTGCATCCCCAGAACTCAGCAGTGCTTAGAACATGCTAACAACTTAATAGATGTTTTTTTTCACTCATTCATTCAAGTACTATTTAAGCACAATTAATATATAAACACTCACGCAGTACCCATACTCAACCACAAACATATGCCCATACAGATGTATCCATTTTGCCAACATAAACAAGCCTATACATATATGCATTTTTAAGATAGATGAACAGAGATGGATAATAATAGTAGCATTTATATAGCACCTGCTGTATGCCAGGCACCATACTAAATGCTTTATAAATATTATCTCCTCTGATCCTCAGGTGATATTACTATCCTCATTTTAAAGTTAAGGAAACTGAGGCAAACAGGGGTTACATGACTAGCTCAGGGGCACCCTGATAGTAAGCGTCTGAAGTCAGATTTGAATTCAGGTCTTCTTGACTCCAAAGCTAATACTCTATCCACTGCACCACCTAGCTGAGGCAATTCCTATAGAGAAGGGGCCAGGCATCCCCACTAACTGCCACCAACAGCCATTCACAGAGCAGTCAAGCCAGCCTATGTGAGGCAGTGGGGCACTCTGAGGAACAGACAGGAGGCACCATGTACTAAGCGAGTCAAACCATCACCATCACCACTTGACCATGGTCTCCCCTCAGATCCTGATGGAAACAGCCCAAGAGGCTCTGCAAATGGTTCCAGGTCAACACCATTGGCCATCATTCCCAGAAGCAGACCCAACGGAGATACAGCCTGGCAGCTAACTACGTCTGGAGGTTCTCTAGCCATTTCTGTTGTAGACCCAGAAAAGAAAGTTCTGATCCATTAATCCCTGGCACTGTTAAATGATTCAGCATCAGAAACTGATATGATTTTGTAAGTTGCAATGACGTTAAAGAAGAGGCATTGTCATACACTTTGCTGCTGCCCCCTAAGGACCATGGAACTCTTCAATCTGACTTTCAACTAAAGCCTCCCCCCCACCAGAATGGGAGATCCTGGGGGGCAGGGGCTGTCTTCTTTTCTGTTCATATCCACAGCACTTTGCACACAGTAAGCACTTGATAATTGCTCTATTCAGTCATCAGGATATCAGAGGGCTAGAAAGGGAAGGTCATAACAACACAATGATCAGGTTTGGTTTCCTAAAGGAGGCAGGATTTGAAATAGGCTTTAGAAAATGAGTCCAACGTGCACAGAGAAGGAGGACATGCCAGAGTCGCAGCACAACCAGAGCTAAGGAAAGTGGAGCATGGAGCGTGTTTAGGAGGCCTAGACTCGTTTGGTTTGGCAGAAGCATTAAATACATGGAGATGAATAATTTTTTTAAAAAAAGGCTAGAGAG